TTTTTCAAACAGATCAGGCCAAGCTCTTTGTTCAAATCCACTTCACTCTCTTGCTCCACATCCTTAATACCACACACTCTTTTGTTTTTTATTTTTTGTCTGTTTTTATCTTCCTTTTTAAGCCCTGCACTCAGTTTTGATCTGACTCAAAATGCCCTCTTGTGATGTTTGATATCTTCACTTAAGAATCACTGACTTTTGCTTTATTAAATTGCTTCATTGTGTCGTTTCAGCTCCTTTTTCTCATTACTCATCCCAGTTTTTTTTCTACCTTTTCCCTTCTAATTGAGGCTGCATGACCAGTCACCGAGTTTATGGTTCTATCTCTATCTCTCTCAMTCAGGTAGACTTTACACATTCTGCCATTTTTGTGCAGAACAGTGATTAAAGGCCAAAAGCGTGACACAAGAGAAAGACAAGACATGGTCAGGGAGATATTTCATATATTTTAGGCATGCATAACGACTGAAAAGTCTCATCAGAGAAGGTGTTGAAGTGGAAAGTCATTTTTGAGGCAGGAAGGTATGAGAAGGAGTTTGCAGTCATCTGTCAGTAAATACAATGCAGCATGCAAAGAATTATTTGAGGATAATCCCACAAGCTGAGCCACAAGCCCCATTTTTATAAATCTGTAGTGGCAGACAATTACAAAATCAATAACAGTTGCATGTTACAGTAGGATTCAGAGGTGTTCAGTCTTCTGGATAAATGATTACCTTACAGCCTGGGGTTTAGAAGGAATTCAGGGCAGATTGTCTTTGTGTCATTCAAACATCTTGTCTGTCACTTTTAAGTTTGTTATTAACCTTTGTACAGAAACATGCAGTTCTCTGAGCATCAGTACTTACTTTGGTGATTTTATTAAACTGTTGTGTGAACAAGAATAACATTTATTTACACTGATGAGACCCAAAAAGAATAAGTTGGACTGTTACTGAATGTCTTTGATCTCATTGTGTTTGTGCTGTGGCTCCAGCTCAGGTGCTCCATCTACTTTTAAATAACTGTTCTCACTTTACACACATTTTAGGTATTGTTGCAGCACAAAAAGATCTAGTTGCTCAAAAGCAACAAAATACCACTTGTCTGGTATTTTATTCTACTTTGTTAGAATCAGTAAGTAGTCTTTATCTTAAAGAGAACATATCATACAAAATCCACATTTCAGCCATTAAGTGCTCTTTGTTGTGCACTTGGAGTCTCTCTGTGTGCAGAAAATGTGAATTTAGTCTCCCTTTATTGCATATACAGACCTTTAAATGTTCTATTTTTAAAACTATTCAGTTTTCTCTATGTACTATGTTGTTTTCTGAAAAAAAAAATCATCATATTATTGGTAGCCCTTTCTTTTACAGTCCCCTAATTACCATGCAATTACCTACAATTTACATGTAAGTAATATTATTTTACTACACAATTACTTGGTAATTAAGGTAATTTACCATGTAGTTCCTTGGTAAGAACATATTAAAAATACTGTGTAATTAAAGTAATTTTAGTGGGTAATTCTATTACAATTACAGTTAAATAGAATCCCAATTACCCACTATTTGCCAAAAATTTATATTTTTACAGTCACCCAATTACCATATTATTATAAAGTGTATACTTAGAAAATTACTATTTAAATAAACTAATTTAGTGATCTTAATAGTACATCAACTACCCAGCATTTACCAATAAACCATCAACTAAATTTCCACATAATTTATATATAAATATAGTCCCTAATTATCATGCTATTACCAGTAAAATACTATGTTAGTAAAACTACTCTTATTGGGCAACTACAATCACATTACTGTTCAGTAGTACCTCCATTAAATATTATTAACCAAAAGAATACCATCATRTAGAAACATATGTTCTTATCAAGTAATTATATGGTAAATACTATAATTACCAAGTAATTGCATAGTAAAATGTCATCACTTAGCATGTAAATACTAGGTAATCACATGGTAATTAGTGGAATGTAAAAGAAATGGATATCAAATTATTTGTGACGAAACTGTCAAATAAAGTAGTTGTCTTCATTCTCCTCTGGTTCTGGGTCAGACCCTGGTTCTGGGTCAGACTCTGGTTCTGGGTCAGACCCTGGTTCTGGGTCAGACTCTGGTTCTGGGTCAGACTCTGGCTCGTTGTAAACCCCTCAAAGGACAAAGAACCGCACTGGAAGCTGGAGGAGGGCGTGGTGTGAAGCATCTCTGTTCAGATTTAAAGAGGCAGCCTCAAAAACGAGTTGCTTTGTGATGCATCTTAGAAAAGGGGTGAAAGAGGGGCTTGTTGAGTTACAATAAGGAGGAATTCAGACCAAAGTGTTAAAGTTCCACTTTATAAAGACCTCAGCTGAATGATTTAAATGAGAAAAAGAAGTATTTAACAGCATATGTCTCCTATAAATACTGTGTCCAGTAAAAAAACATTTCACCTACTTCCCACAAAGTTTAAGTTAGCAGGGTTAGCMTTCAGCTCATTTAGATGCTATCAAACAGTATGATGCAGACAGAAACCCTCAAACACCAGGTAGCTGGAATTAACTAATTAAAATATGTGTAAAAATAGAACAAACATGGAGTGACATGATTATTTTATTGTGTTTAGCTAACCAGTATCATTCTGGCTCCAGAGGGGATAATCACACTTTACAGCTAATGTTGCAGCATTTCTCTTCATCAGCGTCCGCACATCGCTGATGAAGATGAGTCATTCAGATGTTTAAAATTAGCTCTTCTATTGTTTACCCTGCTGTTGTGTAGCTGGTTACTGTGGGGACCCAACAAGCTGCAGCAGAACGTTGAAAAAGTCAAACTATTTGAAAGCCCAGTGTGTGTGTTGCTGTTCTTTTCTGCACACTTCAACATGTGATTCATGCGTTTCCAGGGTGAACCACCTCCACTATCAGCCGCAGGAGGACGAACACGACCCGGAAGTAGACGGCTACGAAGATGGAGATTATGACTACCACAGTGACAACAGGTGAGTGGCTTTTTACCAGATGTCCGTCTTCCTGTCATGAATTTAATCATCAAGAGGCTTCTGGGAGTTTTTTGTAATCCACTTTAAAGGATCCACAATTAGTTGTAACATTAGACTT